CTCTTATTGGATCCGATTCCCAACGTAGTCCTGGTGGTCCCATCGCAATAACTTGCGCCCTGATGCCCTGTGCATAAAAAACAGATAACGCATCCTCTCGCAATGCGGCCCCGCCCGCGCGCCTGATAGTCGCGCGCGCCAGTCCGCGGGCGCGGCCGCCCAAGGTAAAATTTACACCCCCGCCAGCCGCCTCTTAGGTGGCGCGCGCCCGCAGGCGTCGCCGCCCGGCCGTGAGTTATGCGATCGCATGGGGGGGCCCCGATGGAGGAGTCCGGCAGCGGCCGTTCTGAGATCTCCAATCACTAAGAAGCCTTGGAACGACAACGAGCATCAACTGCGCAGCACGCGGCCGCGGAGGGAGATGCCTCGCGCGGGCGGCGCGCGGCGCGAGCGGGCGCTGCCGCGGCGACGGCCTTGCTCCCGCAGCTGGTCGACGCGGGGTAAGGCGCCTGGCGCGTCGCTGCTCGCGCGCGCCCGCCCGCCGTCGCGGCCCCCGCCACCTTGTTCGGCAGTGATGTGTGACGAAGAGCTTGGGCCACCAATGTGGTGCACTGTTGACGCCCAATCTTGAGGAGGTGGGAGGTCGCCCCAATCCGCCACCTCGCGCGTGTAGGGGTGCAGACCGCGAGTAAGCTCGTCTGGTTCCCGCCTCTCCGCAACGGGAGTCACCTTCTGACCGGCGCACGCTGGGGGAGCGCGCGCGATCTCGTTCCGGTTGACGGGGCGCTCTGGACGGCACCAGTGACCCATCGCCGTGCTGACCATTGCGTTGATGGCATCATCAGCAGCTCCACAAAAATATCGGCGCAAGCTGTAGTCGAACTCGCCAGTAGCTAGACTTTCTGCGTCGACCGTGTTACGAGATGGTCCTCGGGGGGCGCTACTGACCTGGCTTGACTCTCCGAGGTGATGATCAGTCTCAAGACCGCGCTCAACAATCCTTCCGCGGCCCACGTAGGCGACGCCCCCCCCCCTGATCCTCGCATTCAGCTGGGTTGGGAGTGGCCCCCCCAAAAACTCGGAGAACGCAGCAGCCACGTGGCCCGATGGTGTCTTCTCGAGGCCCATGACCTTGGCCCCCCACCCCAGAACCACTTGGTAAGTGGTTGATCATGGGAATATGATCTTCTCGCGGCCCTCCTCCAATGTGAGGATGGCCCTCTTCTGCCAACTGGAGGCAAGGCCGAGCATGGCGGGGAGGACTTCGCCCGAACCTTCGGCAATGTTGCCGACGAATCGATCCATGCAGGTGTGTCCGACCTGCTTTGGGAATATCTGCGCGCGATGTGAAACGCACCAAGTACGCGACGCACAGCGGCCCCGCTGCCCAAAGGTCGAGCACGCGCGCCGAACGACCGCACTGCATGGCCACGCGGTCAAACCCCCTCGCGGCGTTCAGCGCGATTATGTGAATTTTGGAGCCGGCGTCCACCAGGAGACCGGGCTCGCCTGGGACTGGCGCGGTAGGCTCCCCATTTGCGCACGCGCATTGGCCTCCCAGCTGCGGTTTGGGCTGATTATTTGCGCCCATCTGCTTCTGGGGCCTTCTCTGGTTGACTACCCTTGCCTCGCGATTGAGGCGCGTGGCCGAAGGGCCCAAGTTCGCGCGGAACGCGTGCGCCTCTTCTCCGCGCGCGATGAGCTCGCTGCCCAACGCCAAACCGTCGGCGCGCCAGCCGCGGCCGCCAGGTGGGGGGCAGGTCGCCCTCGAGGCTCGCCGCGCACAGGGTGGTGTCTTGCGGCGCGAAGGCAATCGCGCGCTCATGCAACGCAGCGGTTGCGCCGCCTCATCGCGGCTGTGGGCGCCCGCGGACGAAGAGTGACTGGGACGGCGCACCGAGGAGTGCGATCTTCGTCGCACTGCCCAGCATTCCGTCTCACTCCTCGCCTCTCCACCTGATCTCCATCGCCCTCTTCGGCATTCCTTCACACTCCTCCAGGCCCCCCCGCACTCCATCGCACGCCGCGGCACTCCTCCAAACTCTCCTCTTTCCTTCGCAATCCTCGGCGCTCCTCCCCCACACTCCCCATGCCATAGGATCCCTCACGCCTGGGTGTGCATAGGATCCCTCACGTCCACGTTTCCGTGCAAGTACGTGTGTTTATATTCACATGCGGACACACCCGCAAGCGTGTCTATCATTCGTTGCCTTTCTCCGCGAGCCAATGCCCGGACATGTTTTCGTGTCTATTCGTGTCTAATTCGTGTCTGTAGTACGCGTGTTTATCTCCGTGTTCATTATTGACGCTCGTGCCTATTTATGATACCATTTCGTGTATTTGTCAATCGATTCGTCTCTATTTGAAAACCTACACTTCGTGTCCAGTCATATTTCTTCTCGCCTGTGTTTCTACAGTGTGCGCAGCACGAACAGATAGACACGAATCCTTCTAGAAACTGAGCAACCCTTTCAAAGAAAAACGCCCAGAAGATAGACACCGCCTCTTGTAGGCTAGGGGGCCTCTGAGGGCCTCAGGTCCTTGGAGAGTCTCATCGGGGAGGTTCTGGGTGCGGTTTTTCTGAAGAATTTGGAATTCGTCGCCGGATTCGCCAGATTTCCCGGATCTGGCTGGAAACGGAACAGGGGGGCCTCTGAGGAGGGCCTCCTTGGGGAAGCTCCCAGGAGCGGTTTCTCTGAAGATGTCCCACGCGAGGGCGCCGGTTTGGAATTCGTCGCCGGATTCGCCAGATTGGCCGGATTTCCCGGATCTCACCGGAGGCCCCGAGGGCGGTTTTTTTGAGGATCTCCCACCTGGGGGCGCCCGTTTGGAATTCGTCGCCGGATTCGCCGGATTTCCTGGATCACGCCGGAAGCGGAACAAGGGGGGCCGTCGGCGGGGCCATTACCTCGCGCGCGGGGGGTCAGGATGACGTGAGTTCCACAGAAACTCACTCAAATAGCAGCGAGGCCGGAAATAAGCAACAAGGAGTGATCGCTAAAGGCAACGTTGTTTGTTTTACCTTCCTGCCTATCCGCCTGTTTGCCAAACTTCAAGGAACAAGGAAGGTGCATGGCGCGAAGCGCCAATGCAGTCTTGTGTGTATGTATATGTGTGTGTAAATGTATGTATGTATGTATGTATGAATGCATGTGTGTATGTATGTATGTATGTATGTATGTATGTATGTATGTATGTATGTATGTATGTATGTATGTATGTATGTACATATATGTAAACATGTTTGTTTGTATGCATGTGTGTATGTATGTATATCAGTGTGTCTAAATGTGTACGTATCTGTACATGCACATGTATATGCACATGTATATGTGTATGTATATGTGTATGCATGTGTACATTCGTACGTGTATATGTGAATGTCGATGTACATGTATAGGTAATGTAGGTGTAGATGTATGGGTACATGCCGATGCAGATGTATATGCAGATGTAGATGGAGATGAACATGTTTTCGTACATGTAAATGTGTACGCAAATGAATATGTATATGCATGTATATATACACATGTACATGTACATGTATGGGTACATGTATGTGTATGTATGTATGCATATGTGTATATGTATGTACGAATATGTTGTATACGTATACCTACATGCATGCATGCATGCATGCATGTGTGTAAAGATACGTATGCATGCATGTATGTATGTATGGGTGTATGTGTGTATGCATGCATGCATGTATATAGACGTATACATTCGTATCCGCCACCGTGCCGCTGGGCACGCAGTGGGCCTCAACCCTCGCTCCTGAGGAGTCTTTCAGGGGCCCCGACCCCCAAACTGACAGACCTCCCCGGGCTCGCCGCGTGCCCCCAGGGGGCTTCCCGCGTGCCTCCTGGGCTCCCCCGCACCTCGTCGCGCGACTTTTCGGGACCAAGGGGGCCCCAAGACGGGCCAACAGGGCCCCACGAGGCCCCCACGACGGTCCAAGAGGGCCCCGAGTCGCCGAACGATCGCTCCAAGACGCTCAATCAAGATGGCCCCCAGACGGCCCGAGAGGCCTCCAAGACGCCCAAAGAGGCCTCCAAGAGGCATCCCAAGGGGGCCCCAAGAGGCCAGAATCATTGATTTCCATTTGGTTTTTGAACGATTTTGGCGTTCTCGCCTTTTCGATTGTCCAACGCTCCCAGACCGCCCAAGAGGCCCTCAAGACCACCCTAAACGGCCCAAGAGGCCCCCAAGAGGGCCCCAAGACGGCCTAAGAGCGCCCCAAGACAGCCCAAAAGGTGCCCAAGACGGCCCCAACAGGGGCCCAAGAGAGGGAACAGGAACCGAAAATCTCAGCCTTCCGCGCCAAGAGGCCCCCAGGAGGCCCCAAGAGGCCTCCAGGAGGCCCCAAGAGGCCACCGAGAGGCCCCCAAGAAGCCCAAAAGAGGCCCCAAGAGCCCCCAAACGACTCCTGAGAGGCTTCCAGACTGCCTCCAAGAGGTCACCGAGAGGCCTCCCACAATATCCCAACGAACATCCAATAGGCTTCATACCCACTAAGGCACTGTGGTGGGATGGGCCGAAGGCCATTCGATACCAGGCCTGCGTAGTGCACGTGCCTACCAGTAGTAGGCATGTGCACCACCAATCTAGAGTGCCTAATATCTAAACCATAATCAACAACATGTGGGACTTTCCCACTTTGACTGGCACCAACGATCGAAGATCGGAGGACCCAAGTGCCCCAAACTACATACAAAGGGTTAGGCCTACCCTTGAGGGTACCAGCGCAGCTCTACAATCCTCCTTATCGTGTCCCTCTTCCTCGTGCTCCTCGTGCTTTCCTTCTGTCCCTTCCCTCCTCCCTCTTCCTTGCTTCCTCCTTCATGCTCACTCCTGCTTCCTCCCTCCTACCTTCCTCCCTGCTCGCGTTTCTTCCTCCTTGTCCTCGTCATGATCCTCCCTCTCCTCCTCGGTATCCCACTCCCGGAGATTCAAGGACAATGATGATCGACCGACTCAAAATTTAGACCGTCCCGCAGACTGTACCGGATCTCTTGCTCGAGCCATGCGGTCATGCGATTAATCTGCAGTCCAGCGTTTCAGGGACGCCTCCGGCAGAAGGCGCACGTGCAGCCGACTGCATGCCGGTAGTCCACGAGCGCCACCGGCAGTGCCTGCGCCTCCGAAAATACCATAACTTCGATATGATCCACGCAGCCGCCTTGTCTCGATGTATCAGCCCATATCGAATCAAAGACCACGCCTTCGTCGTCGTCTGGAGGCCTGGTGATCTGCGGCATGGGCTCTGACGCGCGAAAAGACTCCCCAAGGGCAACGCGGGCAACCATTAAGGTCCTCTTGGCATTCTTTTCCAACTGATTTACGCGATCTTCTGTGTAATCGTCACTTTTTGAAGAATTCGCAGCGAAGTAAGAAGCGGTGCCGAAGAGCTTACCAGAAGTCTCGCCCCCCATCTGCGGATTGAACCCACCTCTGCATATCTCCGCTAGGGTCGATGGTACAGCCCCATGGAATAAGAAATGCTCGTTCAAGTCGAAATCGTACCTGCTCGCCGGCACTTTCAGATGAGAGAGAGCCGAAATCGGAGAGCACATGCCCTTTCGCTGCCTCTTGCCCTCGAGGTTCTGGAGCTTTGCCATGTAAGATGCTTGCACTCTTGGGTTCACTACCGATCGCACCCCGATGATCTCGAGCTGCGGCGGCTCATGGTACACGGCAGACCGGTACGACTCCCTGTCGGAGAGACCCAAAGAGATACCGAAACCGCTGCTCTCCCGGGGCCTCTCCCGAGGCGCGTTCTGGCCAAGATTGCGCGGCGAGTCCGGCTGCGGCAGCGAAGGCCTCCCAGGAGGCCCACAGAGAAGTAGAGAAGAGGAAGAGGGGCAGCGATATCGGTACCTCTTTCCTCCTCTGACCTGTGGCTTGCAACCGTGCTGACGACAATGTGCGACATGAACTGGCCAAACGGGTCCTCTTCTGGCACTGCGCCAATGCGGTATTCAGAATAATGGGAAGGCCGAGGCATCTGGGCAGCGTGCGCGAGTCGATCCGCCGCCCCGCCCTCGCATGCTGGGGCGTCTTCGACTATCAACTGCATGGGAGAGGTTCCTCTGTAATGTTCCAAGAGCCTCTGCCCCCATACTTCAGGAGACAACTCGAGGGAGGTCTTCGTAAGGCCGATTCAGGGCTACTGCGCCGTATTAAATGCCACTACACCAAATTAGCCCAAACGAGGCCCAGAATTGAGCCAGATAAACCGGATTAGGCGGGGTTGGGCCGGATGATGAGCGGGAGTCTGCCGCTGTCCGACCACAGATGTAACAGCGCCGATGCTGAGACGAACCTCGCAGGAGCTGCAGCCTAACATACTCGCGCATTCGCCAAAAAAGTGCCCACGCTTTGCTCTCCAGCGAGCTTCGTAGCCCCAAGATGGCCCTGAACACCAACCCGTCCCGAGATGGCTACAAGATGCCCCAAGACCGGCCCAAAGCAATCTGAAGACAACCCACAAGGCCCAAGATGCCCCGAAAAAACTCCACAACAGGTCCCCGGGGACGCCAAGCCCATCGAATAACTCGTGCTGCAGGATGTTAGGTGAAAGGCGGCTTCAGGAATACCGCAGAGGCTCCCGAGGAAGCCTCAAAGGCACCCGAAAGCCTCCAAGGTCGCGCTAAGAGGCGACCAAGACAGCCCGAGCACGCTCCAAGAAAACCTCAGACCACACCAGGGCAGCTACAGCACTGTGCTACAATACTGCCCCAGAACCATGGCACCGAAGTCGATCTAAGACCGTCCAACAGGGGGGGCTTGTAGAGCCTTGACTCTAGCGAAACTCCTCGAGAGAACTCGGTAGACGGTAGAACGATCCTGCTCGGACTTCAATGCTGCACTGGCACAGTGACGGAAATTGCCGCAGACAACTTGATATTTGTCCATCAGCTCTTTGAACATGAGCATGTAGTCATCATGGCGCCCATCCGTTCTCTGTCCAGATCCGCTCGAACCGTCAGACGCCAGCCATATCTTCAATGTCGAGTCACCTGAAGCAGAGAGAACCTTCTTCCCGTCTGGAGAGAAACAACAACTATTAAGATAAGAGTCGTGCCCGCTCAAGGTATGCAGCAGCGCACCGTCAGACGCCAGCCATATCTTCAATGTCGAGTCAGATGAAGCAGAGAGAACCTTCTTCCCGTCTGGAGAGAAACAACAACTATTAACCTCATTGTCGTGCCCGCTCAAGGTATGCAGCAGCGCACCGTCAGACGCCAGCCATATCTTCAATGTCGAGTCAGATGAAGCAGAGAGAACCTTCTTCCCGTCTGGAGAGAAACAGCAACTATTAACCTCATTGTCGTGCCCGCTCAAGGTATGCAGCAGCGCACCGTCAGACGCCAGCCATATCTTCAATGTCGAGTCACCTGAAGCAGAGAGAACCTTCTTCCCGTCTGGAGAGAAACAACAACTATAAACCTCATTGTCGTGCCCGCTCAAGGTATGCAGCAGCGCACCGTCAGACGCCAGCCATGTCTTCAATGTCGAGTCATTTGAAGCAGAGAGAACCTTCTTCCCGTCTGGAGAGAAACAGCAACTATTAACATAACAATCGTGCCCGCCCCAATTTCTCAGCAGCGCACCGTCAGACGCCAGCCATATCTTCAATGTCGAGTCATATGAAGCAGAGAGAACCTTCTTCCCGTCTGGAGAGAAACAACAACTATTAACAGCAAGGTCGTGCCCGCTCAAGGTATGCAGCAGCGCACCGTCAGACGCCAGCCATATCTTCAATGTCGAGTCACCTGAAGCAGAGAGAACCTTCTTCCCGTCTGGAGAGAAACAACAACTATTAACATAACAATCGTGCCCGCTCAAGGTATGCAGCAGCGCACCGTCAGACGCCAGCCATATCTTCAATGTCGAGTCATATGAAGCAGAGAGAACCTTCTTCCCGTCTGGAGAGAAACAACAACTACGAACACCAGAGTCGTGCCCGCTCAAGGTTCGTTCTGCGCACAATACCATTGGCCGCCAATTGTGCTTTCAAGGCGGGCGACTGCAACTTGAGCCTCGCAAGGGCCACAGCTTATCCGCCACTTTGCCTGCGTCGAATCGCGCGAATCAGCAGAATGTCAAGCGGTGCGGTGGGGGTGGTCATCAGTGCGTTCGAAAGCAAGCTCGTTTCCCTGTCGCATCAACCCCCATGAATATCCCCCAGGAAACGAAACCCCGTGGGAGTCCCAATGAGTCCTCTCGTGCCTGTTATGGTGCGTTTGAGGAGCAGCCAGGGCCATTGTCTGACCACCTTGGGCCGTCATGGGGCCATCTTGGACCGTTTGGGGGCAAGCTTGGGCCGTCTCTTGGTCCTTGGGGCCATCATGGGCCACCTTGGTGGCCATCCTGAGCAAATTTTGCCCGTCTGGCGGTGGCAAATACGTGCGGCAACGCCGCCGCATTTTTGATCGACTCGCGCGCGGCCGCCGTCTGCGACCTTGGGCGGGCTTGTCCATTGGCGAAGCCAGTGTTTGCACGCACAGACTTGCTTGCCGCGACAAACGAAACAGCAGGCGCACACGGCGATGCAAGCAGCACTGGCGGGGAGACGACGCAGCGGACACGGCGGAACAACGCGGCCGCGGGCGAGGCATGACGGTAAAACAAGAAAAAGGCGAGGGCCAAAACGGGAAGCGAGCTGGGCATCGGCGCGGCCGACGACCGCGGACTGCTTGGGCTTGGTTTCCTCTAGACCCCCCTGTCGCTGGAGCGAGCTTGCCTTTGACTACCGACCAAACCACCCCAACCGAACCCGAGAACCCGAATTCCGGGTTGGGGGGGTACGGGTTCCACATATGGAATGGAGGGCCCCCCCCCGCTGGGAATGGAGGGCAAATTGAAACCTTCGGGGCGGGTTGGGGTGGTTTGGTGGGCGGCGAAACTTGGCACGAACCCAGGCTTCGCCCTGGGTGTACGCGTGTTGGAAGCAGCATTCGCTGCGTTTGGGAAGCGCCCCCCCCGTCACACACGCTTCAGCTCCGCAGGCGACGCGGCAACTCAGGTGCAATCGATGCTAAAACGGGCTGCGTCGAAGCGACGCGACAGCCTGCGATGGAGTTCCCCGGCCTTTTTTAAAGTCGGTGGCGCAAAAGATCCTCAAGCAGCAGATGCAAGTGCCACTTGCGATCGGGTATTGTCGAAGGTATCGTGTACTAAACGTGCACACCGTCAATGCAGAAATGCAGCGATGAATGGTGTGAAGGAAGAGCTGTAATCCAAACCAAACGTCCAGCGACCACGGGGTTCCCCGACCACGCGTACGCATGTTTGGCGTCGCGGCCTCGCGCGCGGCGACGGGGCGTAGAAAATCGGGCGCAGGCAGTGAAGCGCGCGCGTTTATGCATGGCCGAACAGCCAGAGACCAGCCGGCAGTAGCCGTAACCATCCAGGCTTGGATGGCGGGGAAGGGCGATGAGTAGACGAAACTACGGCGAGGGTGGAAGATGACATAAGACAACTGGCGCACGCAAGCACACGCACACACACTCACTCACTTACCCATTCACTCACACACTCACACTCCTTGGGCGGTAGCGATCTCGCGCGCAATGACGAGGCGGACAAAGTGAACAGACAGCGCGCGCGGCGGCAGGGCCATCAGCATCGCTCAGGACGCGGTCCTACCGACACCAGCCATGCAGAAAGCATACACACACACGTCCGACAGACATCAGCACACAAACACACACGCAGACACACACACACACATACACACACACATATACGCACACCTTCGTGATGGGGGGGGGGGCGGCGCTTGGGTGGGCGAGGGGAGGGCGGGTTGGGCCAAGTGAAACTGCCATCGCTCGAACAGTGGCCGCACGTGCAACCATAATGGTAAACCTCAACCGCGCGAAATGCGGGCGACGACTCTGCCACAATCCCTTCCTCCTCGCGTTAACCATCTCCTTCCCCCTCCGCATCCCCCTCCCGCCCCCTCCTCCTCCTCCTATCTCCTCCTCCTCCGATCCGACCCTGCCGTCCTACGCCAGCGACCAGCAGCCCAGCACCATGGAGGCCGAGGGCGACTTCTTCCCAGGCATCGGGCAAGGGGTCGATGAAGAGGTCGTCATTGCGCCACCCGGTGGGCACGACGGCCATCAGGAGAAGGCGCGGCTGGACGCGCAGAATGTCCCCTGTGCGCCACTGGTTGCTTCGGAACCGAGTGGCCCGCTGTCCCCTGTGGCGGCGGCTCCAGCCTCGGCGCCCGATGCGCCGCGCGGGCGCGGCGGGCCCAAGACAGCGACGCCAGCGCTGAATGGCCGCGGTATCTTCCACCTCTCCCAAGTGCTGGCTGAAGTGCGCGACCAACTTATCCAAGCGGGTCTTGGATAAGGCACGCCGAACTTCGAGCAGTCCTACCTCGTTTTTGGCATGCCCGAGCCTCCCGCTTATCTGCCACGCGCAGATACGCGGAGGCCTGATGTCTGCCTGCGGGGCGACGCCCATGGCGTTTGGGGCCCCGTTTCTTACGCCGACGCGCCGGCCCGATGTGCGGAGATGTGGACAAGCTGTTGCGCAGCTTGATACTTACTCTTGGCTCCCAGTTCGGGCGCGGTTCGGGCCCCTCCCGTACTTGGCGCAGACTGTCGGCCGTGCTGAGAGGTACGCGATCAGGGAGGGGCTCGACGCTTTCCCTGAACACCAGTGCTTCGTCACTGACCTGCTGGCGCTCGCCAAGAAAGGAGAGCGCTGGCGTCCCGAGCTCGAGCAGGGTCGTGCCGAGTATCCTCGAGCGTGGCGGGGCATCTTCGTGGCCAGCCGAAGGCGCACTCTGCGGGGCCCTCCCAGGTTCCGATGGACGCCAGCGCACAGGTCCTTGGAGGAGCTCATGGGCACAGAGCCGCAGGAGCTGCGTGACTGGCTAGGCAACGGCTGGGCAGACTACTTCGCGCGCTGCGGTGCGGCCTCTCACGCCCCGGCTGGGCCGGTAGCTGAGGCGGTAACAGCTGCGCTGAAACAGCACCGCACGGTCCTGCAGTGCATTTCGTAGGCGGCACTGCAGGTGGTGGCTTGCGAACAATGGGGGTGCGACGTAGAGGTCCCCAGGCCATCCCATGCGAGCAGGCCAGGCCCATTGTGGTGGCACGCAGCACGGACCATGTCCTTGCTTACTGCGCCAGCCTCGGGCGGTGCCGATGCACCAAATTCGGAGTCGCGGCCACAGCGAGCTCCTCCCTCGAATCGCTGTAAACTGGCTCTCGTCGTGTATGTCGCCCTTCGCGCGTTGCCAGTGCCCTCAACGCCGAGTACTTCCGCGCCCTCGGCGAGGGCTGGGTTCTCTGCAGCGACCAGAGGGCTGGCATGGCCCTGGGCGCGGCCTTGGCGCTCGAAGGGAGCTAGCTCACAGCCCTCGGCCCCCGCAGCCTTGTTGCCGCCTGCCCTGGCAGAGGAAGAAGGTTGGGGGCGCCTTCGCTGCGCTTGGGCGCGACGTGTTCAGGGGCAATAATGTTTACTGTTGCAGGCGCTGCGGGTCTCACTGCGCTGCGGGGGATGTCCGCGCAGCGCGGAAGCTTGGCTTGAGGTGCGATGGGCTCTCGCCCAGCGAGTCCACGCGCCGCAACCAGCAAGATGCGATCAGGCGTGTCGACAGGGGCCTGGCGCCTCGCGCCCGACGCACCCCTGCAGCGCCGCCCCCGCAGGGGGGCTCCTCTTGCAGCCGCGCGGCGCGTTGATCGGCCATGTCGTGATTCGCTGCCGTGCCGTGGTCGGCTGGTGGCACGGCGTCTTCTTCTGTGGCGACGCCTCCCTCGTCGGCGGCATGCTGGCCTGCGTCGACGCGCCCCTGACCCTTTTCCTCTGCGAGTGGATATTCCCCCACGCTTTCTTCAACCTTGCCCTCTCCGCCGTCTTGGCGCGAGGGCGCCACGGCGTAGTCCGTCGGGCGCGCGCCAGCGCGGCTGGCGGGAGACGCTCGAGCGGCGCTGCGCTCCTCCTCCTATCTCGTCCTCCTGGGCAGGGCTGACTACAGTATCCTGGTTTCCAGTCCCACCCCTAGGGCACACTGTCAGTGGAACCTGCATCCACGGTCTGGGTGAGTGGCAACTGGCTGCCTGCTCGGCATGGCAGGCAGCGGGCACTTGGACCGTGGGTGGGCGTCGTGAACCCTGCTCGGCTGGGGGGCGCCCCCGCCGCTGGGTGTAGCACGGCCCTCGGTCCCAGCCTTGCCTAGCTGATGGCGGCGTTAGTCAGACACCTGTGGTGGCATGTAAGGCTCCCAAGGACTCGCGTTTCCGTGAAAGGTGGTGGCGAGTGCCACAACGGCTGGGGCAGGAGTTCCCAATGCGCAATGCCCACTGTTTCGGCGGGGTCGAGCCTGGGGGGCCGCCCACCCACCAACATGCCGTCACGGCGGGGCCGCGAGTCGCCAAGCGATGAGGTCCGCCGAACCTACCCAGCACCATGTTTGTCTTTGATACAGAGGCATGGGGCGTCCACTACTGCTTCCTAATATAATACCCTCCTATCGAAATTTGGCGACAACGGTGTGAAGCTCTCGCTGCTTGTAGATGTTCAAGCCAGCGCAGCAATCTGTTGTCGCCTGGGTGCAAAGGTCTGACAAGCGCCCCCGCATCCTATAATGGCGGCATCGGCGTAGGAGCCCCTTGCGGAAATCGCGCAGGCACCTGCTGCGCGGGCGCGGCCGTCCACTGCGCACCGTCGGTGCACGTGGCCAAGCTCTACGTGGGGGGCCTTGCCAGCGCGTCGTCGACCGAGCGCCGTAGTCGTAGTTCCATGATATCCTGGGCTCGTCGTGCCGCGGCGCCCAGGGAGTCATCCTGTTCGCGATGGCCATCGTGCGGGCGCAGGGCAACAATGGTGCCTGGCCCCCAGCACATGGCGCACGAAACCAATTGTTGACGTTTGTGCGAGCGGCGCAGTTCCAGCAATCAACGTGGAATCGTGCCCACGCTGCGAGGGCCACACGGTGTCCCGCAATGCAAATTCCCCCAGGCGCACCGCGCACTGCG